CTCTGTGGTAGTAGTGAGCATGTAGGGACCTAAATCACTTGTATGTGTCTTAAATACATTATTGGGATTAGTAGCAGCATAAGAAGTGATTGATGGACACCAGAAGTCCATTAATAGAAGATAATAGGAATCATAAATGTACTTCTCTTGATAGTAGCTAAGTGTCCCCATAGGTAAGGTAAGACCAAGAGTATAGGATCCCTTTGAATGCTGCAGAGTTAAAGGTGCAGAGGATACAGCAGTGGTAGTGCTCTCTATTCCTGATATAACTACTCCATCCATTGATCCTGGTACTACCTTATCCCAGGTCTTAACGAAATGATACATACAATCTATACTCTCACTACCATCACATACACTATTATAGTATCCATACCCAAGAGCAACCACAATAGAAAGCTTACTACCAGCAGTGTTAATAGCCGATAACATTGCCTTGAAGTCATTACCACGAGCAATACTGCTACTGGTATCAGGAGCATTCACGTTCCTACCATCCTTTATCCAATCACTAAACTTAGTAGGAGTAAGATCAAGTAGGACAACTAAGAATAAGAAGAAGAAGAATTCATATACGAATATATGATGCTATTATTACTTGAGAAATGGGAATTGAGACAACTCTGACCATTAACAAAAGTGCCTAATTGATTCATATACTTCTTCTCAGTGAGAACATCCATATGAGGCCAATCTGCATATATGGCCAACCCTTTATGGGTGGTAGAAGGCTCCCCCTTAGAGCATCTGCCTCTAGGTACTGGCGCTGAAGTAGTCGTGACACTACTACTACTACTAGGAGAAGGAGGAGAGGTTCTTGTAATATGGTTGGTGGCAGTAGTAGTAATACCTAATGTACTACTACTAGAAGGGGGATGCAGAGTGGTAGAGGGAGAGGAAGAGACCCTCCTATTAGTACCTACTAGATATTGATGATATCCTTATTATAGGAGCAGTGTGATGATCTAGGCTGCTGCCGGTAGTAGCGGTAGTAGTAGTAGTAGTAGTAGTAGTAGTAGTAGTAGCAGTAGTAGTAGTAGTAGTAGTAGTAGTAGTAGTAGTAGTAGTAGTAGTAATAGTAGTAATAGTAGTAATAATAATAGTAGAGAAGGTAGTTGGTATTATAGTACCTTCTACAAATACCCTCCTACCTATGATACAACATCATCCCCCTCCCCTTACCACTTACTTGGTTGTAGATTATCCCCTCCAGTAGCAGCGGTAGATGGTGGTATTAAATCAGGTGAACGTGGTGAGCTACAACCTTGTAGCACGAATAGTAGTAATAGTATCACCATGATCATGATGATGGCATGATGTTGATGTTGATAGCATTGCCTGATAGGCTTGTGAAGTGGGGCATCATTAAATATACGGTTGAACAATAACAACATCATGATAACAATAACTGGTTTAAGGATAATCGAACAACCTTCTCCTGCTCCTTTGAACACAACTATTATCATCACACAAGGAAGAGGGATGATGATAAAAAGTAACCTCAGTAGAGGCAGATGATGATGATGATGATGATCATGTTGTAGTGTCCATGTTAATATGGAGATAACAGACCTTAAGGTAACAAGAGCCTATCAAAGCCTCTGAACAATCTCGATTATAAGTAGTATGTTAAGATCATGCTCCAACATAGTATTACTATCATCATTGCGGCAGCCGTGCATATAGTTATCATACCACACCTCCTTCAATTATTACATGCTGCTGCTCTTCTTCTTATCTTCCTATTCTAATACCACCAATAAGCACCGATTGGATAATTCATGAATACTGCCTCAACTTGTTGGTATGGTGGATCTCATCATAATCATAATCATACCCGCGTTGCTTGGGCTACTAGGCCATCACGTATTGAGATATCTCCGCGGTAACAAAGTCCGCGGTAACTTAGAGTAATATAAATATACCACAGGGGGGTTAGAGGCAGGTCCCAATGCTAATGTCCAGATAGTACTACATATATTAAATGACCATATAGGACCTTGTGTGGATTGAGGAGCGTATCATAAAGTTACATAATATAAATATCTGCGATTATTAACAGAACAGCCTATAGATAAGACTATAATAATTACACTAGTAGTAGTAGTAGTAAGAGAAGACTACCACCTTCACCTTCACATCCCTATATCAGCAGCAGCAGCAGCTTGATGACAATATAGTAATGCCATCTGAATAAGCCATAGTACATAATGTTAACCCTACTAGATTCCATAATAAGGTACCTATAACTAGGCAGTACCATCACTACTACTACTACCAATATCGTTCTTACCTCCACCACAATACTCTGATGTAGGAACTCCTCTTACAAGCTAGGGTTAGGGAATGAGACTTTAATAGGACCCTAACCAGGCTGATTAAACCAGCTGCAGCTGATGGAGACTACATCCATTAATATCATCATCACATTGATGATGAATGATTATTATCAACATACAAGCGTACTCATCCTTATTATTATAGCCTATCCTAGCATGCTATGATTATCGAGCCACCCGCGAATGATGATGATGATGATGATGATGATGATGATGATGATGATGATCGGGGACATGATAGATATGACCGGTATGTGGTGAGAGAACCTTCCTCTTCCCTACTTCTTCAGTACTCCTACCTCCTAGGCCCTAGTTCAATAGTACTACTATCATCGTAAAAGTATTCCTAATCTAGCAATAGTCGTAGTAATCTACCAGGATGTACGAGGACATACGAATGCAAGAGGAAGATTATTAACCAGAGTTACGAGTACCTGTAGCTGAACCTAAACAGGAGAAGGAGAAGAAGGGGATCATCATCATTCCACCACCAGGGGCTGCTGCTACTACTATTGGTAAATCCTGTATAATAGTAAACACAAGAGTAGCAGTAGTTGAGTATTACATTGGTACTACATGCTAATAACATTATAACATACAATATAAGACTCAAAGCCTTATCAACCTGATGATGATGACGACGGCCAGAAATACTGCTGTAACAGTTGTACATAATCATCATCATGTTGCTGGTAGTGCTTCTTGGTGTTGTTGTTGTGGGATGATGGCGTTGTTGGCGTTGTTGTACTACGACAATAGCCTAGATGTGGATATTGTGGGTTATTAAGATCAGCCTGCCAATCATGTTGTGCTACATCATAATAAATACTATGTCGTTGTGTAGAGTCTCTAGCCCATCTTGATATGTGTCTATGAGCATATATCTTATACCATTGAATAGGCATTGCATTAGGACCTAATCCACGATGGAATGCCATATTCCAATTAAAAGTAGCTGTAGCTCTAGTTGGAAAGGCAGTAGCATAATTAACCCAATCAAGATCATTGACCTTAGACCATTCAGCTTCACCAAAGGTAGCCCAATGACCTAGATGTGCTGCTAGATCTACCTTAGGCCACACTCTACCATATTGTTCTACATTACCACCAGTAAATGCTGATACTGCCATAGGATGATGTATTAAACCACCATAGGTATATGCAGTAGCCTTAGCATAAAGCTGTAAACCCATAGCAAACATAGAACATGCTGATCCACATCCACCATCACTAAGGATAGCTATATTATCCCAATATCCTCTACTCCATGATGTGGATGTGGATGTAGAATACTTACTATGTAATGCTTCCATTCGAGGTAATACCTCATGTCTACAGAATGACCAATCACCTTTAAGTGAGTATTGAGAGTATTGTGGACCCCATCGTAGATTCTGTGGATGAATATATTCTGTTAGATTAGGACCTTTGAAGCCCTTACCCTCACCTGGTACTAATAGCTCATTAGGTAGAAAAGGATACCATCCATCCTTAGGGGCTATCTCCTTAGCATGATTACCATGTATAAACTCTCTATTAAGGAGTATCCTCCTCATTTCCTTAACTCTATCTCCTGGAGTAAGATGCTCTAATCTATCAATGGCATTATCTATCCAATTAAGCTCATCTGAGAATGTTCCAAAGTCAGGTATAATATGTGCTGCATATCTATATAATATTCGTAGATCATGGAACTTCTCCCTTATATAGGACATTGAACCTAATTTATCATAGCCTATAGATTTAATACCAGCCTCTACTGATTTATCCCAATTAGAAGCAAATGATTTAACCCATAATCTCCAATGATATGTCATATGTTTAGATTGTGGTTGACATATATCCTCAGGATTATCTACAAAATGCCATAATGCTGCCATAGATGATATGACATACCCTCCAGAGTTACCAGATAGATCTATAAGTATCCTACGTATACCTGCTTCCCTAGCAGCATAATATATATCGAACAATACAGGCATATATAGGAATTCATCAGGACTACTATTACTACTACTAGGGTTATTATTATCAGATAATAGGAATGTTGGTATTACCACTATAACCATATTATCATCTATCTTCCATCGTATAGATCCATCATAATTCCAAGGAAAAGACGAAGCCTTGATATCATTATCTAGAGTAATAGAGGTAGTAGTAGTAGCCTTAACACTATTACTACTACTAATACGATAGAAGTACTTATCATCCAATCTAGCAGCAGTATTAATAATAAAGTCCCCAGATCCTACACCAGATAGATGAGGAGGAGGAGATCGAATAGAATCCAAAGTACTTATAATAGGACTGATCGCTTTATCCATCTCTTTATCACCACTACTAGAGCTAACATTCCATATACTAGCCATATCACGATGAAGGATATTCTTTTCTATATCCAATACATAATCAAACTTCTCATTCAAGTTAACCAATGCATTATATGTACGTCGTGTAAGACCACTCCCTCCATGTGCATCTTCCTTTAATGCAGGTGTATAGTCTAAGAAGCGTACCAACCAATAAACTGTAGCATTCTCACCATTACTAAAGGTTATATCGATTGAATGCTTTTTAGGTGGGCTACGATATGATAATGGTATTTGAATAGAATCACCAACAAAGAATGCTTGATTTATTCTTTGATTAGAATCTGAATAAAAACCCTTTAAAGGACCATCATCAGATACCATATATTCTAACCATGTTATAGCAGGCATACCATCTATCTCGATAATCTCATCCCCAGATGAAGCCATCTCAGTAGTACCATGACCCAATAATTCCATATACATAACCTCCATATGTAGGTTACATAATAATATAACTTGTCGATCATTACCACCACCTCCTCCTTCCGCAAGGTCTGTATCAAAACAGATAGGTAAGGTATAGATAAACATATCATAGGGGCTTATATATAGAGTATGGGCATCATTAAGCTTGTTGAATTCATCCATAATCTCACTATGGAACTTAAGTGATGGTATGGTATCTTCTAAGAATGCTTCACGTTCTTCTGAGCTGACTTCTTTATCAAGTTTATCAGTAAATTGATATATCTTATTATCGAGGAATTTAACAAGATCTACTTTAACATCATATATACCAAATCCACATTTATTAGATTCCTCAGACTTGGTAGCATCCTTAGCAATTGATGTAAAGGAATATCCCTCAGCTACACCATAACGTAGATTATGTAAAGTGAATAATGCGTCATGTCTGGTAATAGTAAGAGTATTCAAACATTTCATAACATCTTCACCAATACCCCAACGTATATTGGCTAAACCTGTTGAATCCATACCAGCTATAATAGATTTATCATTCAAATCAGCACAATAGTCGATCTTGGTATTGTCATCATCATCGAATATCTTCCCTAACTCTCGAAGTAATCTCTCTACTAATGGTAGATTCCAAGGCTTATCACTTATCAAAAGATAAGCATGATTGTTAGAGGTATGACTGCATCCAAAGAAGGTAAATGATAATAATAAGATAGTCAAGATATTAATTCCATAGTAATCAGCAAGAGGATTAACCATGGAATAAGAGGCCTAATAACAACAATATCACTCATACGACCCCTCAGTTACAGCAGGAGTATCGACTAACGAATCTTGCAATTCTTGCTCTACTTGTATTTCCTCAACGCATCAATTGCAAGGTTTCCGCCTGTTCATTGACCGTAACGGGTTTCAGCAATTATGTCGCAATTGTCATGCATATTGCCAATGGACTAGCGGTAACTACTAGAGGGAATACGGTACTGGATTAGATATCATGGGGGGATACTGTTAAGAGTAGTACAATCTGCCAACAATAGTGTAGCATATCTATAGAACATAGTCGACGTCGTTGTCGACTAGATGGTATTGAGAATGTTATGGGCCTAATAATACCACTTCTTATGTTGATGATGGAATAAGTCTTAAGTAGTAATGATTGTTATATGTGGTGATACTCCTCGAGTATTGATGACGAGCAGTGATAATCCTCAGGGTAGGAGTATCTTGCCTCTCTACGAGGTGTATCAACACATGTTCATCAATACTTTCACTACATGTTTAGATTTGAGTGGTATATTGTAGTTTTTGTTCCATATGGCTGTTCACTTCTCTCTGGTCTTATCTCTGACCATTTGTGGTCTGACCATTAGCTCTCCATCAGCCATTGATCCAATAATCGACAAGTTAGTAGAATTATCAGAGGACTCCCACTACAATAACTTCGATCTGTAGGATCATCATCATCATCATCCCACATAAACTTCGTAGATGTATTCCCTTTATCAGCTCTGCGGTCATACGTTTTAATATCACTGGATATAAGGAATTCGCCCTCAAGCAACCTAAACCATATCATCTATTCGTATTGCTAAGTGCCAACCAGGGAGTATGCAAAATATGCCCTTCCCTTGAGAGGACTCTCGACAGAGCATCATTATCATATTATGGAGTAGTAGTAGTAGGATATGTCTGTGTTATTGAACTGATGTACAGGTCGGTGCTCATACTGATGAGAAGGATCCTGTTTTCTTTGGAGTTATCGATGCCTATACCAACAGTGAAATACAACGAGTACATGAGCTCAAGGCAGTACCCTTATTGGTAGTATTAGTAT